AGGCCCTGCGGCCCCCCGCCACTCAGCAGTGCGAGGCCAAATGTGACAGCGCGCCACCCGGGGACGGCCCCGAAGGTACGAGGGCCACAGGCCCGAGGCCAGCCGACAGACCCCGCTGGCTTCTGTGCCTCGCTTCTGCCCAGTGTTAGACCCCTCCTTCCACTTAGGGCCATGAAAAATGGCTCCAGACGTGGCCGGATGAGCAAGAGGGCGCAAAATCACCTCCCCGGAGAGCAGTACTTTTTTTTTTTATTAGTTGTGCTGCTGGGATTGAACTCGGGGCCTTCACACTGAGCTACAACCTCCAGCCCTTTAAAATTCGTCTATCTGGAGATAGGATCGAAGGCACTAAATTGCCCGGACTGGGCTGGAACTTGCAATCTTCCTGCCTCAGCCTCCCAGAGTGCTGGTATTTACAGGCGTGCACCACTTTGCCAGGCTGGCTCTTGGTTTATTGAAAAAAAAAAGAAACTTGAATTTTGTTGCCCCGAAGTAATATTCGTCCTAGGTAACATCAAAGAAGCACTGAATAGGAAATGCTTTTCTAGTTACTTATGTGTGTCAGCCCCAGACCCTGAGCTCTCTCTTTGAAACCTAACGACATAGTCGCACAGAGAATAGGAAGCATCAGGAAAGCTGCAGCTACACCATTGCGAGGAGGGGCGCTGAGACCTGATTTCCCCTTTTCTTCCTGCCTCCCCCCACCCCCCCGCAAAACCAAGAATGCAAGGATGTGAACAAGGTCGCCTACTGCCCCCTGGTGCTCAAATTTCAGTTCTGCAGCCGATCCTACTTCCGCCAGATGTGCTGCAAAACCTGCCAGGGACGCTAGGCGGCGCGCGGTACCTGGAGCCATTGCTGAGCACAGGCTGAGGAAGAACCGGCCCAAAGGGCCAGAGGGGGCGGGAGCTGGGAGTGGAGGTCGAGACGCAGGTGCGAAAAGAGTTATTTATTGGAAACCCTGCAGGGCCCTTGGCTGGGGGGTGGAGAGGGGCTGGCACCCCCAGGGACCCTTTGCAGCCTCTTGCCCAGTACATAGTGAGACACTCTCCCAGGGTGGGTCTGGGGACAGCTATTAGCCCCGGGCTCTTTGGCACCCACCCTTAGGGAGTCCCCAGCAATCCCCCACCCTCTGATTGGAATCTACTGTGAAGGGGGGGTGGGCAAGTCTGCCGGTGCCCCGCCCCCAGCACTAGCCCACTGCCCACCCTGAGCTAGGGGGCGCTGTGTCTGCTCTGGAGGAGGCTGAGCACAAGTTCTCTGACACCCCAGCCTCTGCCCAGCCTGCCCCAGGGGAACCCCAGCATCAGGCCACCCCCATCATGGTGCTACAAGCCTTGCCCTGGGGCCCACACACACCTCGCCAGGAAGCCCTACTTCAATAAAGTTCTGTCTTGTGCCCATCTCCTCATTCAGATGGTGTGTGTGTGTGTCCTCGTGCCCGGGACCCGGGGGGTGCACGGCCCCTCACGGGTCATCCCCAGGAGCCTTCAGGGGACTCGGCAGTGCAGATGTGAACCCAGTCCTTGTAGGACAAAAGTACAGCTTCTCAAACCACATTCTCTGTTCCCCTTTTCCGACAAAGTGGGGGGTTCCTGCCCGCGGGTTCACATTGCTGAGGGCCTTTTAATTTTTAAAAATTGTATTCCTGTCTGCTTGTAGTACATAATGATTGCGTTCGTCGTGGGGAGTTGGTAATGTGCATAACACATCTGAGTTCTTTTTACTTCCCTTCTCCTCCTGTCCATTTCTTGGCCCCTTCCCATTTTCAAAAAATCTATCTGCATTTCCTGTCATTTTTCTTTTTCTCTTTATTTATACATGCCACTCAGGAGGCTGAGGCAGGAGGATCGCACTGTAAATTCGAGACCAGCCTGGGCTACATAGTGAGTTCCAGGGCAGTCTCAATTACATAGTGAGACCCTGTCTAAAAAAAAACTGTGGCTGTAAACGGGTATGCATGGATCGCTATAATATGATGTCATTAACTCTTTGGGGGAGATACCTAGAAGGGGAATACATGGGTCAAGTGGAATTTCTAGCTCCGGCTTTCGGGGGTAACCTCCACACTGGTTTCCATAGTGATTATACTAATTTACATTCCCCCACACACACACTCTGATTTTTGCCCAATTGAGCAAACTTGCTCAAGAAATTCAAGGTCACAGGTGCCTTCCCAGAAGTGGCCGCTAGGGGCGCTACATCTTTTTAAAACCTCTAGAAGGGAGCTCCCGCGCAGGTCCTCAGGCCAGGACCACAGGTGGGTCTGAACTCGGATCCCTACTGGGCCTTCACAGGGTCCTGTGCTGCCACAGCCCCCTCCATGGATGCCGTGGGGAGGTGACGACCTCCTAGAATGGCCATTTCCTCGAATGTGATCAGGAGATAGTGTGCAGTCTGCTAATCCGCCAAAGATGGAAACACGGGCAAGCCAGGCATGGTGGCGCACGCCTGTAATCCCAGCACTTGGGAAGCTGAGGCAGGAGGATCGCCGCGAGTTCGAGGCCAGCCTGAACTATACAGCAGGGACCCTGTCTCAAACTCCCTGTGTCCAAACATGGGCTGATCTCTAACGCACCTGCACCGAGAGAGCCGGCGTCGCCGCGCTGCAGTCGGAAGATGGGGAAACCAAGTCACTGGGGAGGTGCCTGGGTTGAAGTGTTGATCCAGCGCAGACATCCACAGGACCAGCAGGGGCCGCTGTGGAGGAGGGAACCTTCCTGGGGCAGCTGGGAACTGCTTCTCTGCCTTGGCTTGGAGCTCAGGAGGCTACCTGTGCCGGGCTCCGTCCGGAGATGGGTGGGGCGGAGACTTCCGCAGCTGCCCAGCGACCCTTGGCCTCTCCTTTCCGGCTCAGATGCCCGGCAGCACCCCGCTGGCTCTGCACCGCTGGGGCTGGGGTGCCGCGTCTCCCCGCCCTCCCTCAGGGCCGTTTCCCTCCCCTAAGGCACGGCCACTCCCGTCAAAGGAAGTGAGAGGGGCTGTTGTAAGAGGAACTTGGGCCTAGAGCCAGCCCAGGAGGAGCCGGAGCAGGGTCATGCCCCAGCCACCCCCAGGAGCCCTGTGAAGATTCCTCGGCCCGGGACAGTCGCCAGCCCCGCCATGGTAAGTCTCCCAGGTGGGCTCAGGAATCCAGAGAGCAGGGCACCGGGCAGGTGCCCCAAGGCCACCATCAGCAGGGATAAGGGGGGGCAGTGGGGACCCTCTGGGGGTCTCTCTGTGCAGCTGGGCAGTCCCTGCGTCCCCGACCAGGGACCGAGCTCACGTCTGAGGGTGCCAGGGTGACCACAGGGACCAGCAACAGAGCCAGTGGACTCGGAGGGCTCACCCACCCAGAATCCCCAGGGCCAGGACCTCGGCCCTCTCCAGGGGCGCAGGGGCCCCAGAGCCAGCTCAGGGAGCCTCATCTCCCCGTGCGGCCCGGGGCAAGTCGCTTCCCTCTGCTGGCCCCGACCTGCGGAGGGTGTCATATTGGGAAGTCAGTCTGACCTGGAAGCTGCCCTTGGGGGTTCTGCTTGGGCCGCTCGAGGGTCCCGGGGGTCCCTCATTCTGAGCCCAGAGAGTGGGAGGCGGCTGCGTCTCGCGGGTGGGGGCCGTGACACAGTGGCCTGTGGGTGACAGGCGCTCGTGCCCCGCTGGGAGCCGTGGCCCCTGTAGCCGCGGCGGAGGCACCTCTGCGTGTGGAGCTTGAGGTCTTCACGGTGACAGGGACGGGACACTGGTCCCATCGCCAGCGCCCTTCACACTTCACACTGACACGCGCAGCTGGTGGGGCTGCCCACAGCCTCCTGCCTTGCAGGACACTTCAGCTTTCATTTTCTGTCATCTGTCAAGGTGGACGGCGGCGTGTGGCTGGGACAGGGACCGCTGCAGGTCCTCAGTGGTTTCAGCAAACAGCTGAGCGGGGCGGAGGTGGGGAGGTGGGGCCGAGGTGGAAGTTGTGCTGGTCTCAAAGGGAAGACCTTTCCGAGAGCCAGGGACACACTGAGACCTTCTTGGGTGACTCCCAGACCCCAAACCAACAGGGGAGCTCGGGGCTTGGGTTGGGACCACTGCGGCCCAGACCACACCGGGAGGACCTCGGACAGCCCGGTGCGGATCCAAAGACACGGGGAGCGAGAAGAGAGAAACCCAAAGGGGTGCGTCACGGTGGTCTCCGTCGGCTTTGGCAGGTTGACTCCGGCCGTGGTCCTCGGGGGTGGCTTGGTGGCAGCTGCTGTTCGATGCTGGTCACCAGTGGTCCCAGGTCTCCGGCAGGAAATCTCGGAGCGGGCTGGGGTGGGTGGAAGGGTGGTCGGCCTCGACCTGGGGTCTTAGTCCATCATGGTCTTTGCCGTTGGCTCACTCACCGCTGGCTTCCAGGGATGGTGGCTGTGGAGGCAGTGGTACCGCTTCGTGGCGTGGCTCTGGTGTTCGAGTGCGGCTGCTGCTGTCCTTGTTAACGGTGGTCGTTGTTACCATCGCCGGTGGTCAGTTGTCAAGGGCTGCTGGAAGTGGGGTGCACGTCTGGGACCCGGGCACTCTGAGAGGAAGAAGCAGGAAGGTCAAAAGTTCAAACCCTGCCTCGACAACTTGGGGACTTTGCCCGACACGAGCTCCAAATTTTAAATTATTCTTCATGTTTTAAAAAAGGTTTTTAGTACACATTTGCAATCCATGAGGTTTACGTTTACTTGGGGAGTGGGTACATATCCTGCTTCTGTTTCACTCCCCTTCCCCTCTTCAGCCACTTTGCTCCTTCTTTGTCTAGGTTCCTGCACCCCATTGTTTTGTTTTTGTTTTTTGGTTTGTTTGTTTCTTTGTTTTTTGAGACAGGGTCTCACTACGTAGTTGAGACTGACCTGGAACTCACTACGGAGCCCAGGCTGGTCTCGGACTCACAGCGATCCTCCTGCCTCAGCCTCCTGAGTTCTGGGATAACAGGTGTGCGCCACCACACCAGGCTGTCCCCATTTTCATCATCATCATCATCATTTAGTTGGTGGTGGTGACTGTAGGGGGACCGATGATGCAGCTGGGCGGTTATGTCTGATGCCGGCACTGGAGTTCTTAGCAGTTCCTCTTTGGCTTTTCAGGATGTGAGGGGCAGAGGCAGCAGTTGCTTGCAACAGAGACAGGAGAGTAGCAGTAGTTTTTAAGATATCAGCACAGAGTAGAGAGAGCACGGTGGCCATGCGAATGGAGAGAAAATGCTGAAAGCTGAAAAGAATCAAGGAGGAAGAATCACAGCCAGTCAAGGTAGCGCACGCCTGTCATCCCAGCACTCTGGGAGGCTGAGGCAGGAGGGTCACAAATTGGAACCCAGCCTGAGCGATCTAGTGACTTAGTAAGAGCCTGTCTCAGAATAAGGTGGGGGGTGGCATCTGGCACAAAGGCCAGAGTTCAATCCCAGGTACTACAAAAGGAATTATGAAGCCGCAACTGACGAGAAAAAGGGAGCTACACTGGATGTGAGGCAAGGAGGTGCCTGCCTGGGGCGGATGCACCCCAAAGGCTCTTCGGGGTTAAAGCAGGTCCCCAGCACCAGCCAGCAGGAGGGGGCGTGGCCAGCCTCCCTGTCTGCAGCAGCCCGCACTGGCTCCAGAGACCAAGGTCCCCAGCTGTGGGCGGGAAACTGAGGCCCGGCGAGGGAGGGGAGACCCCCCTGCTCCAGGAGCTGTCGGGGTACAGGGTGTGGCCCCGAGTCTCGGGATGGGCAGGGTGGGCCGCAGCTCAGACCCCGCCTGCAAGCGAGCTGGATTGCAGCAGGCTGGTAGGGAAGGAAGTGGCTGTTCACTGTCCCCTCCAGTCTGCGGCTGTCACTCATCTCTGGGCCGGAACGGTGGCCTGGAACATTGGGGCCAATTGCAAAGCCGCCTCCTCAGTCTGGGAAAGCCTGGTGCTGGTTCATATGTCCTGACCCAGCCCCTCGGAATCCACAGGGCAGCCCCCGCGATGTTCCTGAGTTCAAAAGGAGGAAACTGAAGCAGGAGGGTTCCAAGTTCAAACCCAGCTAGGGCAACTTAGTGACACTCTGGCTCAAACTAAAAAGTTAAAAAAGAGAGCTGGTTGTGATGGCGCACGCCTGTCATCCCAGCAGTTGGGAGGCTGAGGCAGGAGCATTGCTAAGAGTTCAAGCCCAACCTGAGCTACATAGTGAGACCCCCATCTCAAACAAAACATAACAAAAATTTAAAAGGGCCAGGGATATAGCTCAGACCCTGTGTTCGGTCCCCAGTACCACACACACACACAGCGCCACCTTGACCACAGCCTCCTCCTTCAAAGTGACAGAGTGACTGGAGGTGAGTGCTGACCCCACATGCCCTGTGCCCATTAAGTGACCCTACCCATTCCCCCAGCTCCCTTTGGACATGGACTGTCTACTTCAAAGAAAGTAGAGTCCCCCTTGAGGAGGCTGAGGCAGGAGGGTCACAAGTTCCAGCCCAGCCTGGGCAACTTAGCCACTTCGGTGAGATCCTGTCTCGAAATTTAAAAAAAGAAAAAAGAAAAGGGCTGGGGAATGTAGCTCATGTGAAGGCGTTAGAGTCCGTCCTCGGTAACCAGACGAAGGAGAAAAGGAAGGGAGGGAGGGAAGGGAAGGGAGAGAAAGACAAAGAAAGAAAGGGACCCTGGTGCATCTCGCACGTCTTCCAGCCCGCGAGGCCGGCCTGCCAGGTGCCTGAAGTTCTGACCGATGCCCCACCCCGCCGAGGCCCCCTGAGCAGCTCGCTCCCTCCTACGTGTGGCCCCGAGTTCTCCCCGGCAGGGGCCAGCCCGTCCATTACACCTGGCCTCCGCCTGCCTCTGGGCCCAGCAGGGCCGAAAGTGCATTCACAGCTGCCCCCCACCTCGGGGTCCCCCGGAACTAGGGCACCTCTCTGCAGAGCCCAGCGAGAAGCCATCGCCCCTTCCCGCCGGCCACCTCCTCTCTCCGGTGTGTTTCACAAGGGCCCCAGCTGGGTGACTCAGCCTTGGCTTGCGGTCAGCCGTGCCCGCAGCCTCTCCCTTGTGTCTCCGCCCCCGAGGAAGGGACTCAGGAACAAACGGTTTCGACTCGGCCCCTGGAGGTGTGGGGGCCACGGAGAGAGACAGAGACTTCGTGGGCAGGAGGACGAAGGGGGCATCTTATCCCCGTGGTACTGCATTCGTTCCCCCTCCACTCGTGTAGAGTTCAGACCGGGCAGCTTCTACACCCCAGGGTCTCTGCAAGATCATCATGGAAGCCATGTGACAGGTGGGGAAACTGAGGCTTGGAGACGTCACCGAGATGGTCAGCTCTCCACATAAACCTTGAACCCAACCCACCGTGTGCCCAAATCCCTGTCTAACCCTCGCACACCCCGGCAAAGCCCTCCCTGCTGCCACGCGAAAGGCCTGTGTGACCTTTGTCATCAGCAGGATCGGGTGTCGGGGACGTGGGTCTTAGGTGGGGGGCAGATCGAGATTCAGAGGCCACCAAGCTGGGGCCGGGAGAGAGGAACCAAGGTCTGAGGGCCAGAGAGGCCATGCTGCCGGCCAGACACAGCTGCCTCAGGCCTGGACCTGCAAAGGGGAAGTGGCCGTTGATCTCAGCCCAGCCCCCGGGCCCTAGCAGCAGGAAGACCGGCCAGCCCTGCGGGGGGCGGGGAGCCACACAGGGACGGGGCCAGTGCTGTCCATCTGCGTCTGACCTGAAGCACCGAGCCCAGCCCCGTCCCCGTGGGACCTCCGGGGAGTCGCCCAATCTCTGCGCTGTTTTCTCTTTGACAAAATAGAGCGGGATCATAGTCATGGCCCTCAGCGAACGGAATGAGTCAGGCACAGTGGTGCACACCTGTCCCAGAATCCTGGGAGGCTGAGACGGGAGGACTGCAAGTTTGAGCCCCGGAATATAGTGTGGCCGTCTCAAAGTAAAGTAATAGTGATCGTGATAATAAGAGGAGGTGGCTCGGTGCAGAGGCCCTGGGTTCAAGCCCTAGTGCCAGAGAGGAGAGAGAGAATAAGAAGCTTAGGCCGGCCAGGAGTAGTAATGCACAGCTGCCATCCCAGCTACTTGGGAGGCTGAGACAGGAGGATGGAAAGTTCATGTGTGGACAACTTAGCAACCCCCTGTTTCAAAATTAAAGATGAACAGGCTGTGGGTGTAGTTCAGGGCTCCATGGGTTCAATCCCCGGTACCGGGTGGGGGTTTAGAAGCGGGGCTGGGGTGCAGCTCCGTAGAAGAGAATGCAGGAGACCTCGGATTCCACCCCGAGCTCTCAGCACAGCGGACAGCACAGAGCAGAGGCTGGCACAGAGCAAACACCAGCGGAGAGGGTGTTAACGCTTGCGGTATTGTTGTTCACCGTACTCCCATCCAAGGACCCACCCGAGCTCCTCCAAGAAGAAACTCATTTCCTGTCCCCCCAGCTGCTCACACAGTGGGTCCTGTCCAGCCCCAGGATGTGCCCCCCATAGCCAACAGCTCAGGGAACGAGCAGACCCCACTTCCCCAGGCCCATGGGCGATGCCACCCAGTCCCCTGGTCATCGTCTGTCCCCAGCGACAGGCCCTGGTCTCCCCATCTTGAAAACAGGAAATGCGCACACACCCACACACCCCACACACACCTTTCTTCCTCTTCTCAGCCAGACCGGCGGAGAGCCATCCTTCCTGTCCATCTGTCCCGCTCCCTCCCCGACGTGACTTCTCACCCTGAAGTCCAGCACCGTCCCTGGGGCCTGAGTCCATGTCAGAGGCGCCCTGCTGCCTCCCACCCCTCTGGCCTCGCTGCTACCCACTTCCCACAGTGCGCTGGGGCTCTTTGCAGGGCTGGGGACCCGACCCCGGGGCTCTGCATGCTAGGCAAGGACTTACCGCTGAGCTACGCCCCAGTACCCTGACTCCTGCAGTTCCAAAAGAACTCATGCCCTCTATCCCAGCTCTTCGGTAGGCTGAGGCAGGAGGACTGCAAGTCGGAGCCCAACTTGGGCAACTAAGTGAACTAAATGGGCAAAAAAATAAAAACAGAAAGGCTGGGGATATAGTTCACCCCCAGTACCTACACACACACACACACACACACACACACACACACATACACACACACACACACACACACACACACACACACACACACACACACGCTGAGTGTGCCTAATGTACGGCTATGAAATCCAAAGTGCTCCAAAATCGGACACCATTTGAGTGCTGCTGCAATACCACGAGTGGAAAACTCCACGTTCAACCCTCGTCACAGTAAAACTTCAGGTCCACCGAAAACAGTATATAAAGTAACTTACATGTCGAAAGTGTATATAAGCCGGGCGTGGTGGCGCACGCCTGTCATCCCAGCACTCGGGAGGCTGAGGCAGGAGGTTCGCTGTGAGTTCGAGACCAGCCTGGGCTACATAGTGAGTTTCAGGTCAGTCTCAACTACATAGTGAGACTATGACTCAAAAAAAAAAAAAAAAAAATGTATATAAAATATAAATAAATTTCTTTTGTTTGTATAGTACCAGGTATTGAGCCCAGGACTTTCACACTGAGCTAAATCCCAGGCCTTTTATTTATTTGAGTTTTTTTTTTTTTAACAGGGTCTCAATAAGTCACTAAATTGCTGAAACTTGCAGCTGTCCTGCCTCAGCCTACTAGACGGTTGGTTGGTTGGTCGGTTGGTTGGTTCATACTTAGCTGAAGTATAAATGAACTTCATATTGAGGTGGGGGTCCCACCCCTAAGAAATCTCATTAGCTACAAGCAACTATTTTAAAAAAAAAAAACTTTTGTTTTTAAATCCAAAATCTGAAACATTTCAGGTCCCGAGCATTTTGATTAGTGAACTCAACCGGTAGACTTTCTGTTCATCCATAAACAGTTTGGTTCTTGGTTCCAATGATTAGAAACACCTGCCTGGGGGAGCTAGGAGGCTGAGGCAGGACAGTCCATTGCATGCAAATGTGACACCTCCCTGAGCCCCCACCTGCTAAACGCCAGCCACCTCTAGGACCACCAAAATGTTCCAATTCCAATTGTGCACCCAGAGTCTTGGCTGAGAACTGCCCCACGCTCACAGCTGAGCGGTGGAGCCCAAAGGCCTTGGCTTGGCATTCAAGGCCCCAAGGGAGCAGAGTCTGGCTGACCTCGCATCTATTCATTCGCCCAGTCTTGCCTTTCTGCGTTCATTCATGCATTCACCCATTCGAAGGAGCCCTGACGCCTTGTTCAGTGGGGCACTGCCCAAAACCCCGCCCTCCTCCAGAGGGCACAGGCTTATGTGTATACAACAGCTGTGGTGCTGTGGTGAGGGACGCCAGAGAGCAATGTGGGGGTACAGAGAAAGCCCTGGTGTGGCCTGCAGTCAAGGAAGTCTTCCTGAAGGGGGAAGCACTTGAGCGACTCAAAGGCAGGAAGGGCCCAGCACAGGAGGGCTGCTCACGTCATGGCGACAGGGATGAAGAGTGAGGGGCGGAGCCAGAGAGAGAACCCTCCCGGGCCACGCCCTCCAGGGCCACCTCTCCTGAAGAGGCCCCGCCTCCTAGCCACACTTTTAGCCAGAGCACCCAAGGAGTCACCCTTCAAAGGCCGCACCTCTGTGTGTGTGAGGCTTTGAGGGGACACCTAGCTGTAAACCATAACAGACTCAGTTTTAGCACCCAGTAGGAGCTCCAGAATTCTTTGTGGAATTGCCTGGCACACACGCCTGTAACCCCAGCACTTGGGAGGCTGAGACAGGAGGATCTCCATGAGTTCAAGGCCAGCCTAGATTACATAGCAAGGCTCTGCCTCGAAAAGCAAGCGAACAAAAAACAAACAAAAAACACTCTACTCTCTGAGTCTGTCTCCCTGGCTAGTATGATGAACAATTGACAGCACCCCACCCCCAAAGACAGGCATGTCACAGTTACTTGGTGAATGCCACTGTTAAATGCCACGGGCTGGACAAGGGCACCGGCCCTGCCTCACCTTGTTCCCCAAATCAATTAATCCGAATATCTGGCTTGAGAGATGAGGCTGTTTCTCCCATTTTACAGATGGGGCAACTGAGGCTTATAGGTGTATTAAGTTACCTAGCCAGGATTAGAACCCAGATCTATCCCTGTGCCAAAGGCTGGGCCCACTGAATACCTATAAACATTCCTCAACAAGCCCCACCCCTGCTCGCTCTCTGCGTGTCCAGAATCTGAGTATGCCCATTCCTCCCCCTGCTCAAGAGCATTCGGTGCTCCCTAGATACCCCGGAGACGCTGGCTCTTCAGACAAGCCCTCCATGACTGGGCGCGGCCTCAGCCCCTCTGCCCCATTCACTCTCCTCTCGATCCTGCCTGTATCCTTTGTGACCCACACACCCATCTCCCTTTCCTGGAATCTGCTGCCAGATGTGGGTCCTGTTCAGAGTCGGCTTTGATGTCTAGCATCTTTTGCTCAGGGGTTTTCCCCTGAAGCTGGGTTCCTACTGGGAGGGTGGTTGGTAGTGGGGCCTGAAGTCAGGGCCTTTGCACCAAGCTGCACACCTAGATTTTTTTTTTTTTTGAGACAGGGTCTCTCTAAATCACTAAATTGCCAGGCTGGGCTGGAACTTGCAGTCCTCCTGCCTCAGCCTCCCAGAGTGCTAGGATGACAGCCATGTGCCACTCAACGTGGCGAAAGCTGAGTTCTTCCCTTCGTCTTTGTACCTTGTTTATTCGACAAGGCTGAGAAAGGACGCGCCCGGCCCCCGTCGCCCCTCCCGAGGCCCCTGGTCTGGGGAGGGGCTCCTCCCCCTAAAGGGTGCTGGCGCTGGGCCTGGCATGGCCGCATCCTGCGGGGAGAGAGCCTGGACTCCCGCTGTCCCCGGGATGACTCACAGCTGTCCCATTGTCCCCACGCCCAGGGCAGCAAGGAGCGCTTCCACTGGCAAAGCCACAATGTGAAGCAGAGCGGTGTGGATGACATGGTGCTGCTGTCCCAGATCACCGAGGACGCCATCGTGAGCAACCTCCGCAAGCGCTTCATGGACGACTACATCTTTGTATCCTGTGCCGAGAGTGGGGTGGGGATGGAGGAGCAGGAGGCTGACTGAGAGGGCGGAGGAGGACCCGCAGGTGGCAGTGAGGCACTCCTTTGGAGCAGGAGTCCTCAACCCTGGGCCACCCAGCAGGAGGGACTTAGCGCCTCTGTAGGATCAGCACCGCCCGTAGAGTCTCAGAGGAGCGGGAACCCTGCTTCGAACCGCGCGTGCGCGGGATCTGGATCTGAATCTGGAGCAGATCTGGGATCTGACACTTCACACACCGCGAACTGCGCATGCGCGGGGTCTACAGCGACCCGCCTCCTACCGTGAACAGCGCATGCGCGTGTGCTGGGTCTAGGGTGGACGCCGCTCTCGGACCAGCCCTGAACCAAACCCCTGGCCCAGCCCTTGGAAAACTGCCTTGCACGAATCTGATCCTGGGTTCCAGAAAGGCTGAGGAGCACCGGTGGGGAAGGTGTAGGACCGATGAAGTGACAACACAGTTATGGGTATCGTAGGTGGCCTCACTACCCCCCCCCACACACACACCTGTAGCCGCTCAGCCACCGAGCGTTCTGTTCCCTGGTTCGGGACACAGCCCCCCTTGTGTTTTTGTTTCATCGGCGTCCTTGTTACTGTTGCCGCCATTCTTCTTCCTCCTCTCCTCCTTCCCTTCCTCTTTTTCTTCTTCCTGCTCCTCCCCTTCCTCTCCCTCCTCCTCCTCTCCCTCCTCCTGGTACTAGGGATTGAACCCAAGACCTCCACACTGAGCTGCATCCGTGGCCCTCTTTTTTTTTAGGTTTTATTTTGAGATGAGGTCTTGTTAAGCCACTAAGCTTGCTCAGGCTGGGCTCGAACTCTCAGTCCTGCTGCCTTAGCCTCCCAGAGTGCTGAGATGACAGCTGGGCACCACAGCCCTGTGGTTTCCTGAGAGACTCGAGGTGCCTCTGAGTATTTCCATCGCCCTGTCCAAGCCATGGGCTCTGGGAGGCTGCATGGGAACAGGACGCGAACGGGGTTCCTCAAGGGACCCAGGAGTCCCTGCAATGGCCTTAACCTCCTCCTAGACCTACATCGGCTCGGTGCTCATCTCTGTAAATCCTTTCAAGCAGATGCCATACTTTACCGACCGTGAGATCGACCTCTACCAGGGCGCGGTGAGGCCGGGGCTGAGCCGGGAGGAGGGGGCACAAGTCCTAGACCCCCACTCCTAGCCCCGGGCTGAGCCCTGCCCTCCCCCAGGCGCAGTACGAGAATCCTCCACACATCTACGCCCTCACCGACAACATGTACCGGAACATGCTCATCGACTGTGAGAACCAGTGTGTCATCATCAGGTACAGGGCGGGGGCTGCGGACCTCCCGCCCATGGGGCCGGGGCGCTTCCTTCTCAGTGCCACCCCCAGCCCTGCCTTACTTTCCTTGCACCATTTGACTCCTGATACTCTTTATGCATTCGTTCTGTGATTGTTCGTCTGTTCGCCCTAAAGGCCAGCACCATGAGGACAGGGATTTCTAACTGTCTTGTCCACCGTGGAACAGTGGACGTGGAATGGGGCCTGACAGGCAGCAGATGCTCCCCTGATGGGTGTCCAGATGCTCAGAAAGGCTCTTCCTGCCACCCAGTGGGTGACACTGACCATTCCTTTCTCCATCTACCCCAGTGGGGAGAGCGGAGCCGGCAAGACAGTGGCGGCCAAGTACATCATGGGCTACATCTCCAAGGTGTCTGGCGGGGGAGAGAAGGTCCAGGTGAGGAGGCCAGAACAGAAGGGCCCCACCCCTTGCCCACCTGACCTAGACTGACCTCTTCCCGCCTGCTTCTGTCCCCAGCATGTCAAGGACATCATCTTGCAGTCCAACCCACTGCTGGAGGCCTTTGGCAATGCCAAGACTGTGCGCAACAACAACTCCAGCCGTTTTGTGAGTCACGCTGTAACCCCGGCTCTACACACACACACACACACACACACACACTCTGTATTGCCAGGACCAGAGCCCTCGGGAAATCCAGCAGGAAACACATACTTCTGGATGGGAAATTCACTTCCTGTCTATGGTCCGTTAGAAAAAAAGTTCCCCCATCGGAAAAACTGAAGCAGCCATGACACCTCTGTGTAACATTCTTAAGTACTCCCCTAGCGGCAATCATGCCACCTCTGTTCCCTTTCACATTTTGGGTCCAATTTACTCCCTCACTCAGTCTTTCTTTCAAAAAATAATTTTTGAGAGTTTGTGTATGCATGTGCGTGTGTGAGGTGCTATACTCCGTCCAGTGGAAGAAAGAACAGGAAAGAGATCTGTATTTATGACCCAGTTCTGGCACTATTTAGCTGTATAGTCCGGATGGAAAAAAATGATGTAATCTCCTGTGCTCTATTTTCTCATCCATAAAATGAAGTTGGTATCGGTATCCGTCTCATAGGTAGCAGTAATTTCACTTGATCTTAGCCAAAAGGCCAAGATGAGATAGATCTCAGTAATTTCAGTACAATGTCTGCACGTAGAAATGGCCTAACCACTTCCATTCATTTAAATAAGATTTTTATTTCCTAAATATTCTTGTATTATTTCAAATCTATTTTTCATACAATTGCATTTTAAGTCTTCGTCCTGTTTTATTGTATTTTTTCCAATACACATAAAAATTGAGAGTATCCCAGTAAACACCCACGTGCCCATCCTGAGACTTTTTTTTTTATTAAAATGTATTAGTACACTTTAGGTATACAATAGTTACACTCATCATTAGGACCTTGTACCTTTACAAGACTTACTTTGGTTATTTTTTCCCCATACCCCTACCCTCCCTTCACCCACTCCACCCTTCCCTACTTACAGTGTTTCCATTTTTTCCTTTTCTCATATTTTTTCTCTTTTCCCTTCTGTCCTTTTCCCTACCCCTCCCACTTCCCCTGCTCCTTTAGCCCTTCTCTTCCTATTTCAATGTTCAATTATACATTTCAATCCTTATTTACACTTTGAGTTTTTCACACCATTTTTCACACCAGTCTTAGACTCTTGTCAATATTTTACTATACAGATTTAGCACACCTAATCTGGAAGCCTGGAATTCTCCAAAATTCAAAAGGTTTTATATAACACCACGATGCCACAAGTAAAAAACCCCACCCTTGACCTCCTGTGAACAAAGTCAAAGCACAAGCACACTAAAAAAATAGTGCATAACATTAGCCTCAGATCTTATGCATAAATTGTATACAGGGCTGGGGATTTAGCTCAGTGGTTCCGCCGCCTGCCTCGCAAGCGCAAGGTCCCGAGTTCGATCCCTGGTAAATAAATAAATAAATAAAATCAATTGTATATAAAATAGAAGGCAATTCCATTTGAGGCTTGGGGACAGTTCCCAGGATGTCTCATGTGGATGCAACTCTTCTAAAATACGAAATATGAAACACTCCTGATCTCAAGCATTTTGGCAGGAGACTCAACCTTTCCTTGCTGTACACATCTCCATCCACTGATACTATTTTATTGATGTATCATAATTTCACATATTTGTACGGATCATTTTATTTTTTGATATACTGCAAAGTAACCAGATACTTTCCTCCCCGCAAAAAAAGTCAGCATGTGACTCATGACTGTCCAATATAAATCTGCAACTTTTAGTTCTTTGTTTCTTCTTTTTTTCCTGTGCACTTTTATTTCTTTGAAAGCATTTTTTTAAGAAAGAAGAAAGTACTAATTGCGCACTTATACACACACACACACACAAATACACTTCTCTGAAGCAGACCACTGAGTTTGGACAAATACATGCACCTGTGTATCCCAGACCGGTCAACACACAGAACATCATGATGAGTTCCTTCTTGTCCTTCCCAGTTAATCTTTACTTTCAACCCAGCCCAGAAGTAACCACTCTCTGGTTTATTTTTTGCCACATACTGTACTAGTTTTACCCATTCTAGAACTTTGTGTGAATGGAACCACATAGTATTCTCTTTCAAATTATTAATACACACAAAAACAAAGATAGCCCTCTAAACGCATATATACCTCATGTTATGCAATTTTAGCGTGCAGTAGAATAAGTAGTTATATGTTTTGGGTGTATACTTGTAGAGGATGATGACGTGATTTGTAGCATTATTGGATAGAGGTCGGTGAAAGCAGTGGAAAGGAGAATAAGGGGGCTTTTCTGCCCTCTACCCTCTGGCCAGGGCAGAACCCAGACAGTGATCAAAATGGGGCCCATGGGGCACTTGTCCAGGCTCAGGAAGAACATGGGGGAGACACCGAGGACCATTATGATCCATAGTATCCCACAGAGATGTGAAGGTCTCTGGGTTATGGTGGAGGGACCTGGGAAGTGATCAATAAAATGTGATGAATATGCCAGGCATGGTGGTACACATCTATAATCCCCGCACTGGGGAGGCTGAGGCAGGAGGATCTCCATGAGTTCGAGGCCAGCCTGGGCTACACAGTGAGACCTGTCTCAAAAAAAAACAAAGAGTAATGTACACAAAGCTGGATGCCTCGAGTGAGAACTTAAGAGAATCAGAAGGGATGGAAAGGGTAGGCACTGCGGGCCCAGGGTACAGCCTGAGCTGAGGCTCGAGGGAAGCAGCTGGTGACAGGCAGTCAGCCCCGGCTGAAGAGGGAACGGCCTCAAGGCCACATCAGGAGGAGCGGGAGAGACCCTGGCTCAGGAGACCCAGCCCTAAGCCTTGCACAGCTGCACCCCCAGGGCCCGGGAAGGGGGCGCTGACTCGATTCTCCGGGGCACAGGGCAAATACTTTGAGATCCAGTTCAGCCGTGGCGGGGAGCCAGACGGGGGCAAGATCTCCAATTTCTTGCTGGAAAAGTCCCGCGTGGTCATGCAGAACGAGAATGAGAGGAACTTTCACATCTACTACCAGGTGCAGAGGGGTTGGGGGGCAGGGAAGAGGCGGGGGGGGTCCCCCGGATCATCCCGGTGAGGGGAGGAGGTCGGAGTCTCAGGGCCAGTGGCAGCCAGGACCAGGGAGACACAGAGCCACATGAGGCCAGCCCCAGACTCATGGAGTCACCACCCTCCAGCTGCTGGAAGGGGCCTCTCAGGAGCAGCGCCAGAACCTGGGGCTCATGACGCCCGACTACTATTACTACCTCAACCAGTCGGACACCTACAAGGTGGACGGCACCAACGACCAGTGCGACTTCAGTGAAACCCTGGTGAGCACCGGCTGCCCCAGCGGCGTCCCCGCCACCCCCTGCTGTTCCCTCAGCCCAGGGAGGGCTGTCCTGTTATGCATCACGCAGAGGAGGCCCGGAGAGATGCGGGGACTTGGCGAGGTCACACAGCAAGCGGAGGGCTGAGGCAAGCCGGGCACGCAAATGTCTCCCCTCCCTGAGCCGGTGCCGCGGCCCCAGGACCCTGACCCCGGGGCAGGGTGGAGGCCAAGGCCGGTGGCACAGGCTCTGTCCCCGTGGTACCCGCAGAGCGCCATGCAAGTCATCGGGATCCCACCCAGCGTCCAGCAGCTGGTCCTGCAGCTCGTGGCCGGCATCTTGCATCTGGGTAACATCAGCTTCTGCGAAGAGGGCAACTACGCCCGGGTGGACAGCACCGACCGTGAGTGAGGGTGCCGGGCAGGGAGGCGGAG